TGAGCAAGTAAATTTAAGTAGTTTCCAAGTAGTAAGTACCTTGATTACCAAGGAGCAGTGGGATGCAAAGCTTAGCCAGTGGAAACAAATGATTGATAGCTTCCTCTTAACACTCCTGCCTTTATTTTCCTCTGCATGGCTCATTATTCTGCCACGTTAATTTAAGCTTTCTTATTGTATTGAATTAGGGCTTTAAATTCTCTTATCATCCCTATGGGAATCTTGATTGTTTATTTGTAGATGACAATAATTGTTTTTATCGATCTCCAAATGTAGAAGGTATAAAAATTGCTATGGCTGATGGCCAGCTGGTACATAGTTAGTGCTGCGTGCATGACTGACAAATTACAAGACAATATTTGGCCCCAGAGGAGACCCTTGAAGAATTTTTAAAAGCATCTGATAGTTATCCCTAGATCCCTTCTAGCTGAAAAGCATAAACAATTTCATATATGTCGGCTCAAGTCTTTTTGTTACTTTTATTGAACCTCCAGAGGTCTACTTGGGTTTAATTTATTCATCCTCATCTCTAGCACACCCACCCAGCAGGAGTTTGGAGTGATGTAGCTACAAGAATTTCCAGAGCCAGTGCCATCCAGGCCAGTGAATTCCGTTAGGGACTCGGATCATCTGAGCAATTCTGCAGAAGAGTTTCTGGATTAATCTAGCAGTTGCCATTATGCCACTATAAGCATTCTGTAGATGACATTAGCTCCAAGTATTCTGAGGAGAAACCACTTTGCTATCCCCAGCATGTACTATGGGTAAGAAACCTCACATGATTTCACATCCCAAATTTATCAGAGGCACCAGAGAGAGAAAATGCAACTGTCTCATTAAAGTGCTGTTTTTAGGACGGGGCACTTAAGCAGTATGAGTCCCCGCAGTCAGAACCGAATGCAACACAGCTTACATGAAGATTTTCAGCCTAACTATTATGATCTGTCTATCCAGAAACAAAAGAAGGTTTTGCTTAAAAGTAATAGGTTAGGATTAAAAGTCATCAAGTATCAGAGACATGGTAAAATTTTCTCATCATTTGATAAGATTAGATAAGTTGACCAGATGCCAAATTTTGAAGTCCATGACCTTCTTTTCCTGTGGTGAAGAGAAGACAGATAGGAAGAGGAACCACGTTGATGACTGTACCCTATTTATCCTTTGCTTCTGTCCTGAAAGTTTGCTGTTGACCACTCAGAGTGACTATCTGGATTGGACTAGAATGAGCCAGGAGAACTTGTTTTGCAGAGTAGAGATCCACACGTTACACAAATGACCTCCCCTACCCCACCACACTTTAGGCTGGAGCTATAATGTTATCTTGGTCCTTGACAGCCTCTCTATGGACAAACTGACTCCTAGAAAACCACATAAAAAGAAGAAAATTTACCCTAATTTTGGTTTCCTTTTTCTCTCACTCAAATTAAGCTTTACCCTCAATACTGTGATCTCATTGCGTCCTTGGTCTTGGACAGCCATTCCAGCAAGTTCCATGAGCAGTAATGTGAAAGAGGGAAAAGTTTAGCGACTATAGCCATCACCATTATGAGGTAAAACTTTTTACTCCCTCTTTATATATACCTCGGACATTTAGTGGCATGCCTACCACACAAGTGGGCATGAAATGTTATCTGACTGATTAACTCATTTGTTAGTTTCACATTCAGCATGTGTGGAACATATGACTGTAGAATGGGTAAAGCTTAAAACAGATGGACAGTTGAGGGTGATGATCACAGAAGCATTTGGTTTTAAAATTGGAACAAACCTTAGATATGACTTAGTTCAACTATCTCACGTTGGAGACAAGGAAACTAAGATGACCCACAGAGGTTAAATACCTTGTCCGAGGCTTGGCAGCAACAAAGCTGGAATATGAAACTAGGTATCCACACTCTCAATTCCATACGGCACTCTGTACTGACTCTGAAACACCTAGGCTTGTGCTTTGTTACATGTATTGTGATTGTCTTGACAGGTGTGCTACCCCCACTAGGCCATGTGTTCTTCAAGTGAATATTCATCACAGGGCACCTGGGTGGCTTAGTGGGTTTGGCCTCTGACTCTAGAGCTCTCAGCTCAGGTCTTGACCTCAGGGTGGTGAGTTCAAGCCCTGCACTGGGTTCCACGTGCATTTAAAATATATATACATTATTTCATCACTAACTTCTGGCATAGGATTGCAATAAATTTCTGTTAAAAAAAACAAATAAATGAGATCTGTTTTTCTTATCATGTACAAATAAATGCTGTGATTTTTAGTGATCTCTGCTAGTGTGTGGCCAGCCTAGTAATGAAAAAGGATAGAAAGGATAGAAAAGTTTAAAAAAGTAGAATGAGAAGGCAAAAAGAGGTAAAAAAGGAGATACAGTTCAAGTAGAAATATAACTGGAAAAAAATCAGTACGCAGACAAAACTTCTAGATTCAGTTTGGGAGCTTTTAATCAAGATTCTTGCCTCTTCTGATCTCTCCCAATTTTCAAATAAGGACTTTTAAGCTGATGGTGCGTTAAGGCAGATGTCATCGTTGCTGCCCCTCCCCCAGACTCCAGAAGACAGGATGGACAGCGAGTTAAATTGTATAATAAGCAGAGTTGTTCTTGAGTGTGTTCTACCTCCTCTGGTACATCTTCCCACCCACTTGGCACTCATTCCTAACCCATGCTGCTGCTACTATTCTTATCCCAGAGGAAAGTGCGTGTAACTCTATGTGATCCTGTTTCTGGAATATTTTCCATTTAGAAGACACACCAGGAAATACAAAGGAAAATGACTTACAATGAGGCGTTTCAGACTCAGTGGCAAGTGAGCAGAGCAGATGGATGTATATGGACTGGGTTTGTCTCTCCTTACAGATCATCCAAAGTCAATTAAAATAGAAGCGAGAAAACCCAGTTATCATACCCCTCTGTGAGCTAGTGTTTCTCCTGAAATGCTTACATGTTGCCAGTCAATTGATACTAAACAATGCCTGTTAGGGGAAAAAAAAAAAAAAAAAAAAAAGAATCAAAGGATCCAGAGTTGTAATTATAGCACATTGATGGCTTGGTACTGGAGAACTACATCAATATAGGACATCAGTGGAAAGCGATTACTGGCTGGAGGGCTGTACCCAGAGTGGTTATCAGGGCTAAGTGTCCATTTCTAGAAGAGCTGGCTATGCTCCAGTATGCCAGGAAGTCTAGGTGGAAGGTATGAAATGTAGTCTTTTTAGAAGTGGTGCTGCACAGTTGCCAGATAGCCTGGTGAGCCCAAATGCTCCTATGGGAAGAGATTAAGGAGATAGACAGTTACCCATTTTGGTTGGATTGGGTCCCCTTGGCTAAAGCCAAGTATGGAGATCCAGCTTTTCATTCAATATTCCCTTGAGCCATTGAAATTTGGCAGACCCTTCCCATCAGCCCGATACCTAACCACATCAGCCACTCTCTTCCTTCGGCTACTATGATTCCCATCTTTTCTGTAAACATACCAAGCACACTTCCATCTTTGTGATTTTACCCTTTACATTTCCTCTTCCTGGAACACTTTTCTCTCATATGGTCTGTTGAGCAAGTAACATCTGTCTGCTATTACCAGAGGTGGAAGTCCAAGCACCTCTTCCTACTGTGTCTTATTTGAATTGCCAAGAAAAACACAACACAGTCAAACATTGGATGGAGTAGTGCTTTACTCACATAGAAAAGAGACAGAACAAGATCAGCTCTAAAAGTAAGCCTTGGTCCTTATGGCCTTTGGGTCCTTCCTGGCAGCTGATTCAGAGCCCTCCGCCTACAGGCAACCAAAGGACCCTGTCTGCTCTTGGCAGGGGACAGACTGAGTATGTGGTTGACCAGAGGTCATGTAGCACACATACTGAAGCAGAACAAAGGAGTACACATTGAGTCTGAAACAGAGAATGACATACCCATACAAGACAATAGCCAGGCACAGAATGTGAGAGCTCCTTACCTCTTATAAAGGAAGTGGTCCAAGCTTGAAGCTCTTTTTTTTTTTTTTAAGATTTTATTTATTTGTTTGACAGAGAGTGTGAGCAGGGGGAGCAGCAGGGAGAGGGAGAAGCTGGCTCTCGCTGAGCAGAGAGCCCAACATGGGCTTGATCCCAAGACCCTGGAATCATAACCTCTCAAAGCCCATTCTTAATACAGCCAAGATGAGAGTCAAAAGACTGCACATATAAAACCGTCTTTTCCAGTATGTTCCACATGGCTTCTTACTGTTCACACCCCACTACCAACAATAACCTTCTTCTCCCCACCCCAAACTAGATCTTTATTCCCATTTTCAAAGAGGCTTTCTGAGCATAGCCACCTCCAAATCTATGAAGAGAAAATCTTTGGTTGTTTTGATAATTGCAGTATCACCAACATCTACAACAGTGATTGTACATAATAGGTGTTCAGTAAAAATGTGTTGGTAGCATAGGTCATACAAAGGAAAAGTATTGTTTCATGATGCCTAGAAATCAGTGAAGGAAAACTTTTCAGATGCTTTCATAGAGCAAGCCATTCACCTACACTGTATGCAATTTACACTCAGAAACCCTACAAGTCTTAAAGAAAGTGATATGTCCAGGTAAGCAAGATAACACCATTATCATTCAGTTCCCATCAGGGCTCCAAGCTACTTTAGAAAACCTTTCCTCTGATATGCAGCACTAATTTGTGTCTTACGGAAAATCAAATGAATTATTTTTTTACCCGAAGGGAGCAGGATTATTTGACTTCAGATATTTGCCATATGGCTTCTCTTCCATACAGCATAGCTTCTAGGCTTAAGGTAGTAAGAGCGAGAGCATGCCTATAAATTATTCAGAGATAATTCAAAATAAGTGTGTATCTTTGACAGATTGTCCAGTTTCTTAATGCTTTTTCCTGATAACAAGTGCTATGTGTTTGATAGAAGGTTGCTCGTTTCTCACCACACTTTATTGTTGTTCTGTGTATGTTTTTTTGTTTTGTTTTGTTTCTTGTTGCTGTTTGTCCTTGTTCCTCCCACAGAGTCCAGTCTGGCTCTTATCTCAGCACGGGATGGTTTACCTTCATTCTGGCCATGGATGCCTGTTATGGCATTCACGTCTACGGGATGATAAATGACACCTACTGCAAGTAAGATCACAGGAAATTATTTTTATGCATCTCCAATTCTGATATCTTGTCAAAATATCACAATTCATTTCAATACCATAAATCGGAGAAACAGATAAAGCAACAATTATTTCCCGGTGCTCTTTGCTGACATGACATTTTATTGTCAGTGCATCAAGTTGTGACTCTTAGGGGTGATAAAAAGAAAGATATTTTCCACCACCTAATGTCAAATGTCAGAAGGAACAGTTACAGTGGCATAGCAGGGATTTGTGGCTTGGAAATAGAGAACAAGTTTAGTGGTTATTTAATTTGCAAAGCAAGTTTGTAATTTCTGCTGCTCTAATGGCTTGATGGATAGCTAGCTACTCAATGGTTATATTTGATCTTGAGGGACAAAATGTCCCGAAGCCTAAAGAAGCTAACAGCTTAACAAAAATTCCTGGAAATTACAGTTTACTAATAAGTAATCTGCCGGATCCAGATTTAAAAACATGTGTTCATCCACAGTATATCCTGATAGAGGGATCATTTCTTTTTTTTTTTTTTTTAAGATTTTTTTTTATTTTTATTGATTTGACAGAGAGAGATCACAAGTAGACAGAGAGGCAGGCAGAGAGAGAGAGAGGGAAGCAGGCTCCCTGCTGAGCAGAGAGCCCGATGTGGGACTTGATCCCAGGACCCTGAGATCATGACCTGAGCCGAAGGCAGCAGCTTAACCCACTGAGCCACCCAGGAGCCCCAGAGGGATCATTTCTAATTATTTAATAAAATGAACCCTCCTTATTTCATCCAGGTAATGAAATTTATTTCCCCACTAACAACTGGTACCAGATAACTCATCATTTTAATCATATTGTCAAAATGGTAACTAAGCCACAGTCTTCATCATCAAATATTTCTACCCTAACTGTAAGTATAATGGAGCACAGATGTACAAAATATCTTACCCTAAGAAATCACAAGGCTTCTTCAAGCTCTGCAAGGGCATCAGGCTCTCTGAAGTTTGCCTCCATTATACACCATTTCCTCCTTCCAAGATAGGTATATGTTTGAATGCAATTGGTGTGATATATAAATTTTATATGATTTATTAAGGCACTAAGGATCTGGTACATCTTCCTAAAAGCTTTTATACATAATAGCTTTTAACTGAGTTCATGGACAAGAATCATGCATGGGTTTGCAAGTAAATGCATTTACTGGGCACATAATGGATTCTTGCAAATGAATGCTTCATTCTTCATCTCAATTCTCCTCTCCTTTTCTTTTTTTCTTTTTTTAGGACAGAAGGATATAGAAAAGTCCCTTATCATTACTATGAACAAGGAAGAGACGAGTGTGATGAATATTTTCTTCATGAGCATGCACCATATGGGGGGCATAGGTTTATCACTGAAAAGAAAGTGTTTGCTAAATGGGCCAAGAATCACAGGATAATATTCACACACCCAAACTGGACAGTGTCTTGATGTTAGTTTTTTCTGATCTTGCCACAACACTTGACATGATCATAATACCACAACTGTGATGCTAATGATGCTGATGATGGCGATGGAAAAGACAACAGTGATGATCAAGTTTCTGTACATTCTCCGAAACGGATGGTGGCTCTGCCAGTAATTTGAACTTGGGATTTCATGGAGGGTGGATGTGCTCTTTACATTCTTTCTGAAGGTTCAACATTACATACTGCACTTTATAATTTAACTGGAATTAAAATGAAGGCCAGTAACAAGACAGCAGTGACCTAAGAAATGGGAAGATTACCCTTCAGGATAGCTGCTCAGAATTCTTAAACAGTGACTAACTTTCAAAAGCCATGGGATTTGGCCTCGTGAGGCAAGGTTGACTCTCCAGTCTCTTGAACTTGAGCAGCTCTACCATCTTGAAGAATGGTTGATTGTCAAACACTGATCCAAGAAATGCTGTCTGGGCACAAGTACTGTACCACAGTTACTTGTTAGCCCAGAAGCGGGGAAGGAATTTCTTCCTGACAGAACATGGTCCTAGAGTACCTCCCTCAGCTAAAGCCTCAGGCCATTTCCTAATGAACAAAGAAGATACCATGGACACCCTGCCCATCAGGATCCTTCAACAGTTCAAACACTTAATTCAAAATGGGCCAACTAGCAAATCTTGATGAATTTTCAGTCTCACCACTCCATTCTCACTACCCCAAACAATATAAGTAAACATGTCACTAGAGTGATCTCGATTATTGCTTATTTTTGGTTGAGTCCTAAATATTTTAGAAAGCTATTTAACACGTAAGATACCAACACTGTAATAACATATACTGTGAAAGCATTCTTAAAACATAACCAAAAGGGTTTGCTAATTCTGCTTCAACATCCAACAACACAAAAATATATGCTTTTAAAATCATGAAACAAGAAAAGCAAAGCATATTTTTACATCAATTTGTATCCTACCATACTTCATAATATATATTTATATATTCAAATTTCTACTTTATAGGCTCAGATGCATCTCTCCATCCATTACATTATTGTTGCCAAGTGCTAACTGTTAGACATGGAGAGGAAATGATTCCTGGTATTAAATCTGACCAGAGCTTTTGCCTTCTTGGGGTTTATTATCCCCACAGTGTTATCAGTTGTTATACCATAATAACAACACTAATAATGACCTTAATATCCAAAGTGCTTTGTAATTTAAAGTCCTTATACATATGCTGTCCTATGTGATGCCACCCCCCTGGGCTATTCTCTGCACATTCTGACATCTCCTTAGCAGATGATCTGTAATTTGTTCATTGCTTTGATATATTCCAGATCTTTGCCTCTGCTAATATTTGTATAGAATAGCATTTATGTAGACTAGTAACCAATTGATTTCAGTGCCAAATACAACATATTATATGAGGATTATGCAGAAAATATCACAAGGATCGTCCTGGCCATAGACTAGGACTCCTGTGAGCATAACTACTTTTGAATTTTTTTTTTAGAATGACTCTTTTTAGGTAGAGAAAAGATAATGAAGCAGGGCAACAGTAGGGAATGAACACAGAGAAATACAGTTTCCTGTCCCCATCTTGAGATGACATTGTTCTCCATACACTCATTGCTCATTAGATACGAGAGGGTTGATTTGCTGACAGAAGCCGAGAGACCAAAAATATCCTTGCAAATGATTCAAAAGACACAGCCGAGCTTAACTGACAGAATGATTTGGAGAAAGAAAGTGATGACGCATATCACGTCGGCAGCTCTCTGCAGGTCCTTACCAGTGCTGGCTCCCATGATAAGTTCTCAAATGGGACCATCCTGGGCAAAAGTCTCTTTGCTGCTCTCTGCTGCTGTTTGGATAACATCAATACCAGAGCCAAGAAAATGGCCAAAGGACATTTCCATCAATACTTCTGTTGTTTCCTTGTGTGCTTTTCAGTTGTGTGTGTCAGGTTTTGTTGAGCGAATGACAGATAGAAATGCCCACTCAAGAAAAATAAACAGATGCAAATGTTTAAATTGTAATACAAATGGTTTTCCCCCCTGTTGTGATACTGAGGTTCCACTTTTAAATAAAAAGGAACACTTGAATATCAGAATGCTTCAGGGAATGACATAATTTATTTAGTATTCTGGTAAACAGAGGGTTAAATCGATTCGTTTTAGTCCTTACTAATAAGAAACTTTGCCCCTTTCCTGGCTCCCCAGCCTCTCCACATGAAGGAGACTTTGCCACACCACAGTTACGCTGAGGCAGGAGATGTGTAGAAAAGTCAGTGTTTCCTCCTCAGAGATGAGGGGACCCTCCTCCCACCTTCCTTGCTTTCTCTTCCCCCTCTTTTTTCCTTAACTGAGCCCCAACCCCACTTTCTATTATTGTTGTCTCTCGCCTCCTTTTTCTAAAAGTGGGAAACAAAAAACTGTATTCTCAATTTGGAAACCTAATTGGATGATTTCCAGTGTAATCAGCATCTTGGTAGAATCACATAACTTATTTTTCTCTGCAGTCTTAATGTTCTCTGCTTCCATTTCCTGTTCTTCTCTACCCTCAGCTTCCTAAATCTAGTGGAAATACAAAGTGTAATTTCTCCCATATTAAGAAATTTGTCATCTAAGATTTATGGATACAGAAGAGAATGACAAAGGAGAAATTCAAACTTGTCACACAAATTTCTGGCCAATTTCACTGGTTCTAGCCAACTGAAAGTTTTCATCCAGCAGCTAAACATTGAAGAATTCGACTGAACTCACTTATCACTGATGTATATGTATTCCAGAAGTCAATTAATATCTGTAAAAAACAAAGGCATTTCAATTCCATCCAAGGGTCTAGGCAAATGAACTATTGAAAATGGCCACAATGTGCTGATATCAGCGTTAAAAACATGCAAGCTAGACATAATAGAGTAAATATTATTTCTAATTCTGCAGAACTCTAGAAAAAAGCAAGGAAATTTAAGAAGAGTTTTAAAATGAATGTTTTGAGTCCTAAGGTAGCCTAGTGATTAAATAGTAATGATTTATATTGTTATGATGGCAATGTGAATTAGAAAACTTCTAGACTACATCTTACCTTGCTATGAAACCTATCAAAGAAAAATCAATTTGGAAAGATGTTTGTATATATGCACATAGAGTCAGTGTGTGGGGGTGTGTGTGTGTGTGTGTCTAAAAGCATACCTGTAATCCTATATTTTTCAGTGATGTGTATGAATCACAGAAAACCTATTTTAGACTTCAGTGAAATTTGTTGGTTTGCATTTTGAATCCTGATGAAAAAATAAAGCAAAAATCCAAATTAAACATACTGATTGTAAAGTGTACGTAAGATAATACTTAATGGCTGGCCCATAGAATAAATCTGGAGAAGCCACTGTATCTAAAACTGAGAACACAGATGCCACAGTTGTCACAGGTCAGACCTAGAAGGATAGTAGTCTGTATTGTAGGCTCTGACGATCACAGTTCAGCTCAAGTCACATTGAAAAACACTCCATCAAGCTGCATTCACACTGAAGTGAATGAACATGGTCCCCTTATTCAAATAAGCCTGTCTTTGGCATAAGCAAAACTCAGATTTGCATGATTTTTATTATATGGTTAGAGAACTGTGACCATTGTGGAAAGAGAAAAGTATATCAGGAGATTACTCTTTGAGGATTTGAAACGAATCAGCCATTATGGGAACAAGATTCTGAGATGGGGACTTTACTGACCTTTCCAGAGGTATAAAGCCATCAGAAGAAAATCTCTTGTTACTATCTTAGAAAAAAGGCAACATTGAATTCTTCACCTGGTTATGTTAATTGGATGCTAATTGTAAGCTCAGTTTTCATTTTAATAAGCAAGATAACATAATCAGAAGGTTTACCTTTTTTTTAACAGCATACCCATCTAGCGCTTAATGTGGCATGTCAAATGCATGGAACAAAACTCTATTGCCCCGCGTCAGGCCATGGCAAACCATAGCACAATGAGTGATTTACAGTCCCAGAGCCATAAGGGGAAAAATGCTTTTCCCTCCACTGCATTGTAAAAAAGGCAACACCTCATCATTCTAAGATGGATTCATAGACCCAGTGCTAGCTTTGTAAGTATTCGAGACTTTAAGAGCTGGAAGGGTTTTAGAGACCAGCCAATCCGACCCCTCCATGTCGGAGTTGAAGAAACAGACCCAGAGAAGTGCCCATGGCTATAACACAGACTAAGGGCAATTCTGAGCCTCAAATTCTATCTCATGTCTCCTTCCCTAGTACCATTTCCATGACCTTTTTTTTTTTTTTAAGCACAGAAGGGTAGCTGAAAAAAATGCATAAATAAGCTAACATGGAATCCAAGGGCTTTCAATTAGTAGTGTTGCTTGTACTCATGATCAGAGAAACCACACAGAAGTGTAGAAACAGTCACATAACTGAAGGAACACATCCCTGTAATTGTCCGTATTTTCTGTTATCTATGTTTATTGCTAAGACTGCACCACATTCTGTTATCATGAAATTGTAGGACTAATTTAAGGAATGTAAAAGTGAGTATCTTACTTCCTTGTTGTTGAGGATGATCAAGCCACTGATACTCTAAGAACCGTTGAGTATGGAGGGAGCTTGGTGTAACTGGCATGTCCTGTTGTCCGATTAGCTCCAGAAACCAAGTGTCCTAATTCTCAGATCAATCCGACTGTGTGTTAGTGAAATAACCTACCTGCACTGGCTGGTGAAATTCTACCCTTTGTTTCCACACCTGTCTCTGTACCACACACAATCTTTGAGGGCAGACACCCTTCTGGAAGGTAAGTCACACCCCCAACGCCCCGCAGGACTTAATCATCTGAGATTGAGAGAGGTTCTTTCTTCACAGTCCACTCATATGATACTGTTGGAAGAGGAGAATTCTGAAGCTATATTCACTAGGCTCTGAAAATGGTTTCTTTGACTCAGAGATAGCATATTGTTTTGTTGCTTTTTTTTGCAGAACCTTAGAGAAGCCACTGGAGTAAAATTCCATGTAAATTGCTAAACATCAAATCAGAACTGTCCTTGGGCATTGTAACTTTGCAGAAAACCTCATTTAGTTTTTTTTTAAGTCCTCTACTTTTTTTCCCCCCTTTTCAGAATAGTCACAATTTGTTTATGGAGTAGAAAAGCTCTTCTTTCTCCACAGATATATTTCCCTTTGTTCATGCCTTGGAGACTTCAGAAAAATAGAAGCTCACTTTCATAAAAGTGAACAACATCTTGACGAATAAATAGCCAACTTCATATATTCATATTTTTGCCTATGTAGTGAGCAATGTCTCCTGAGAAACTCCAAAGGGACACAAACCAGGGCATTTCATGGTTCCTTGTTACCAAATCTTCAAAGTACTAATTTTCTTGTGTTTAACTTTGTTGTCATTGCAAATGTAAATACCCATTTCTATTACATACAGTATATTTTATGCTTCACTTATTTTTCTGAGTTCACACAGTTTTGGCTGTAGTCTCTCATTCACTTTAAAAACCTGTAATCTTCATCTATTTATAGTAGAGACTGTAAACGCACGGTTTGTGCACTTCGTGAGCTTTTTTTCTAGCATCGTATTGCTTTATTTATAGGCACCATGTCTTAGAATAAAGCTTACTGAATGGCAAAGGGCTACTGGTATATTTCAGTTTGGTTTGCTTTTACAAGATAAGTGAGGAGTTGTGAACAAAACCAGAGAGTACTTTTTCATTGAGAGAAAAAAAGGAAGGTAGGAGATCGGGTGCAAGGCAGGAGGAGATACTCAGGATACTCAGTACCCAGGGCAGAAAGGCGTCCAGCGTACTACTGCTGAAAATGATGAGAGAAAATGTCAGTCAGCCTCCAGACCATGTTTTGGCGACATTAACTATCTAATGCTGGGGTATATTTCCTTTTTTGCTGATCAGACACGAGAGCAAGTTGGGTCAGTACATACGTTGCCTAAAATACAGAAGTCTTCATTCTTTCCTCCCTCCCTCCTTCATTACCACCCTCCTTTTCTTCCCCCCACTCCTCTTTTGCTCCCTAATTTTCTTTCTAGAAAATTCAGCACTCTTGAAGTTAAACCTTATATGTGGGCAGTTTCTCATTTACAAATCAACTTCTAGTACTCTACCAAACTCTGTAGGCGACTCTTATTTGGATAAAATCTTAAAATGAGAGTCTTCTTTGGGAATAATAACTTACATGCCATGTTTATCATAGGGCTATATACCTCATTCAGTCCCCTCAAGCACTCTGTGAGGTGTGTTACTATCACCGTGTCACATATAAAGAAACAGAAACACAGAGAGGTTAAGTTGCTTGACCAAGGAGGCACAGCTAGTGATGAAATGAGGTTTTTGAACCCAGGCGGTTTTACCCAGAGTCCATACCAAGTTGGAGCAGGCTATAAGTATAATCAATGATCCCAACATTTCAGTGACTTAACAGAATAAGGTTTGTTTAGATGTTCCTCTCCAACCAGTTTCTCTCCAAGGATGACTCAAAGA